AGAAAGAAAGAAAGAAAGAAAGAAAGAAAGAAAGAAAGAAAGAAAGAAAGAAAGAAAGAAAGAAAGACAAACCATCAGGCCGAAAATGAACCAGGCCAGATAATAAAGAATGAAGCAAACTGAAAAAGAAACTATTTTTGCTTTTTTGTCACAGAGTATAAGATGCACCAAGATTTTGAAGAGGCAAATTTAAAAAAAAACTCTGCAGGCCTCCCAAAAATGTTTTTTTTCCCAGAAAAAAGGCATGCATAGCCTTTAGGAGGCTTGTAGAGTGCTCCTGGGGTGTGCCCCCCCCAAACGAGCAAAAAAGGGCCCATTTTTCACAAAAATGGGCCTGTTTTTTTTTTCTTTCAAAAAATGGGCATGCGTAGCCTTTAGGAGGCTTATAGCGTGCTTCTGGAGGCGGAGGGGGGGGGCAGAATTGAGCAAAAAGTGGCCAGTTTTTCACTCATTTCTGCCGTCCCCAGCCCCCAGGAACACTCTGAAAGCCTCCTAAAGGCTACGCATGTCCATTTTTGCAAAGGGGGAGGGGTTTCGGGAGGCAAAAAAATGCTGCATTCAGTGTATAAGGCGCACCCAGATTTCAGCCTCTTTTTTTGAGGGAACAAGGCGCGTGTTATACTCCGAAAAATACGGTAACTTTCAACAGGGCATAAGTAAAACTCTGCACAAAAAGTAACTTGATGCACAAGGCTTAGCATAATATTAAGCTGATGATACTTCAGTGTCCAAGTCAAAGCAAACAGCTTCTGAACGATCTTGACTGTTTTCAGGTATGAGATTCACAGGTCTGAAACCTCCGGAGCAAAACAGTTTTAAAGGAGGATTTTGTAAGCTTTCCTCCCGAGTCCGTCACTCTACTCACATCCTCCGTCTCTGGACAATCTCCCTATAATCCTCTGAGCGGGCATAATAGCCCTCAGGACTCAAGGCCCCCCAGAAGTTCGACCACAGCTTCCCAATGCGGCTCACGAGAGGGGCAATCACAAACCTGGCAAGAGAAAGAAAGAAAGAAAGGAAGGAAGGAAGGAAGGAAGGAAGGAAGGAAGGAAGGAAGGAAGGAAGGAAGGGCAAAAGAGAGGGAGAGAGGGAGAAAAGATGTGACGGAGAGAGAGAGGGAGAGAAAGAAAAGAAAGAAAGAAAGAAAGAAAGAAAGAAAGAGAAAATGAGAAGGAGGGAGAGAGAGATAGAGAGAGAAAGGAATGGAGAAAGACAGAAAGACAGAAAGACAGAAAGACAGAAAGACAGAAAGAAAGAAAGAAAGAAAGAAAGAAAGAAAGAAAGAAAGAAAGAAAGAAAGAAAGAGAGGGAAAGAGAGAGAAAGGAATGGAGAAAGACAGAAAGACAGAAAGACAGAAAGACAGAAAGAAAGAAAGAAAGAAAGAAAGAAAGAAAGAAAGAAAGAAAGAAAGAAAGAGAGAAAGAAAGAAA